GGGGATACTGGGCTCTAAAATCTGATTCTAGCTCCCAGGTAGCCTCCCTTGGCGTGTGGTTCTACCACACGACCTTTACAAATGATATTTTCCAGTTGTGGAGTATCCTGCTCTTTCGGTTCGTGATACCGACTGGTACTTCTTCATAAGACAAGTCCTCTTGGAGTGGAAGCGGTTCATGAGCTAAGATATGAGAGGGATTCGGGTTGTACTTACGTAGCATGGATATGTGGAACACATTGTGGACCTTGGAGAGCTCTGGAGGCAGTGCTAGTCTGTAGGCAGCAATACCAATCCTGTCTAAGATTTCAAAAGGTCCAATAAATTGGGGGTTCAATTTTCCCCTCATGCCGAACCTACTAATTCCCTTGAAAGGAGTGACCTTAAGGAACACCCAGTTGCCTTTCTCAAACGCTAGATTTCTCCTTCGGGTGTCCGCATAACTCTTTTACCTGCTCTGAGCCGTCTGAATGTTCTTTCTGATTTTAACTATTTTAGACGTGGTCTCCTGTACCAACTCTGGGTCAAACGATCTTCTATCGCCCACTTCTTCCCAATAAATCGATGATCTGCACGGACGCCCATATAACGCCTCATATGGAGCCATGCCGATGCTTGCTTGGTAGCTGTTGTTGTTGGCAAACTCTATCAGGGGTAGATGGTCGTCCCAATAACCCCCAGAGTCAAAGACACATGCTCGGAGCATATCTGCAAGTGTACGAATTGTCCTTTCTGATTGTCCATCAGTCTGAGGATGGAAGGCAGTACTGAGAGACAGCTTTGTTCCCATGGCTTGCTGAAAACTATTCCAAAATAGAGAAATGAACCTGGGGTCCCTGTCGTATGCCACTGTTACTGGAACTCCGTGAATCTGATTATTTTTCAGATATACATTCTTACCAACTTGTCCAATGGGTCGTTCATTCTGATGGCCAAGAAGTGAAAAGATTTGGTAAGCCAGTCAACGATTACCCAGATGGCGTCATGTCCTGAACGTGCCTTGGATAATCCCGTTACAAAGTCCATGGTGATGTGTTCTCACTTCCACTTCGGAATCGGTAACGGCTGAAGTAGCCCACCTGGGCGCTGATGCTCTGCCTTGACCTGCTGACATACCAAGCACTTGGATACAAAGTCGGCTATGTCTCTCTTCATCCCATTCCACCAAAACCGGGATCGTATGCCTTGGTATATTTTGGTGCTTCTTGTATGCATGGCAAACTTCGAGCTATGAGACTCTGTCATAATGTCTCTCTTTAACTCACTGTCATCTTGGACACACACCTTGTCTTGGAAACGGAGTAATCCATCGGTAGAGATTTAGAATTCTGAGCTCACTCCCTGTTCTGCATCCTTCTTGCGGGCTACTAGGGCGGGGTCGATTGACTGGGCTTCCCTTATTCTCTGGATTAACTCGGGCTGGACTGTCAGGCGGCCCAAACATGTGACTCTCCTCAAGTCCTGAAGTCGAACCTGTTGTGTGGCCCTAATTTGCCTGCATTATGAAACCATCAAATGGGCTAAGATACTTGCACTTTTCCTGCTGAGAGCATCTGCTACCACGTTGCCCTTACCCGGATGGTATAAGATATCACAATCATAGTCTTTAAGGAGTTCCATCCACATTCTCTGACGCATTTCGAGATCCTTCTGAGTGAATATGTGTTTCAAACTCTTATGATCGGTATAGATCTGAAAGGTCTCTCCGTATAAATAGTGGCGCCAGGTTTTCAAGGCGTGTATGATTGCAGCAAGCTCCAAGTCATGGGTGGGATAATTCTTCTCATGATTCTTTAACTGCCTGGACCCATATGCTATGACCTTTCTATGCTGCATCAGGATACAACCCATGCCTAAATAGGAGGCATCACTATAAATTGTATATCCCCCCGATCCACTCGGTAAAGCCAGTACGGGTGCAGTAGTCAGCCGCTTCTTTAATTTTGAAAAACTTCTTTCGCAGTCCTCATTCCACTCAAATTTGTCATTTTTCTTTGTGAGTCAGGTTAGAGGAGCTGTTAGGTTAGAGAATCCTTCAACAAACTGCAGTAATAACTACCATCCCCAGGAAACTCTAGATTTCCTTAACTGATGTCAGCTTCTTCCAGCCAAGTACCGCTTTAACCTTTTTGGAATTCACTGATACTCCTTCCTTCGATATGATGTGTCCTAGGAAGGCGGTCTGCTCAAGCCAGAATGCACACTTACTCAATTTTGTATATAACTTCTTGTTTATGAGGACCTGCAAAACTTGGGCAAGATGGTGAGCATGTTCTTCTCTGCTTTTTGAGTAGACTAAGATGTCATCGATGAATACGATAATAAATTGATCAAATAACTCTCTAAAGACTCTGTTCATCAGATCCATAAAGATTGCCGGGGCGTTGGTTAGCCCAAATGGCATGACCAGGAACTCATAGTGTCTGTACTTGGTTCGAAAGGCCGTCTTGGGGATGTCTTCTGTTCTTATCTTCACCTGATGGTAACCTGATCGTAGGTCTATTTTAGAGAAGACCTATGCACCCTGCAGCTGATCGAAGAGGTCATCAATTCTGGGAAGGGGATATTTGTTCTTGATCGTAATTTTATTCAATCCTCTGTAATCAATACGCAGTCTCCACGTTCCATCTCCCTTCCTTGCAAAAGTGACTCCGGTACCCCGAGGGGACACACTGTGTCTAATAAAATCACTGTCTTGCAATTCAGTTATCTGTTTCCTCAGCTCTTCCATCTCAATGCGGCTCATGCGGTAAGGAGCAACCGAAATGGGCTGAGTGCCTGACTGTAAGTCTATAGTGAACTCGACTTCCCTGTCCACTGGCAGTCTGGGTAGTTCGTCCGGAAACACATCTGGAAAGTCTCGAACTATTGGAATCTCTTGGATACAAATTTCCTTATTGGGCTTGCCTAGTTAGAGAATATAGCAAGATTAAGGTACTAAAAAATTAAGAAAACTTACCATCAAGAAATAAGTACTAAATGATTTTGGTAGGAATTGACAGAGAATAATGTCTGATTTCGGGCTCTATTAGCGACCTTAATTAATTATGCATATCTATTAATTTGTAAAAATACAGTATTACCATTTATTCAAACTTTAATTTCATGATAGGAAATAGGGTGAGGGGTCTTTAGTTGATTTGACGTTGAAAGCAAGATTTTCATTGTACCTATGGGCGGTCCCTGGGTTCTTTAAATTTTTTTCGGGAACTGAAACGCGTTTATGGTACCTACACATGTCCCAAATAACCCAAAAAATCAGACCTAGGGCCTACTCGACCAATTTTAGAATTTCGGCACGGCGGCGATCTGACTCGGGTTGGCTGTTTTCAGCTGTTTTCAGCCGTTTCCGGCCGAATTTAGCCAAACTTGCATCAGTTCCTGTGAGAAAACACACTTAGGGCCCTTGGTGGGCCCAAAAAACACAGAAAACCAAAACTTACTGGCGGTGGGGCTCTCCAATGCGGCGACTCCTCTGGCTCACGTCGCGGTTGGGTATTTGCTCCGGTCAACCTGTAGAGGAGGAAACGGTGATCACAACGGTGAAAAAATCACATCGAACGGGAATCGGGAAGGGTCTCATAAGAGGTAAAAACTGAGACATCTTGCAGCGGCGCCGCTGGGCTTCGGCAGCGTTTTTCGGCCAATTGGTCGGTGCTTTCGCTCCGATTTGGCCATAGGTGGGTTTAGAATCAAATTCTAAGCAAATGGTAGAATTTTTACCTCATTTGGCGGCCGAAAATTACTCCAGTACGGCGGCAGGTGGCGGTGGTCGACTCCCTGGCGGCTAGGTTGTCTTCTCCGATGTGGGCTCTGGCAGCTAGGGTTAGGGTTTGAGTTGAATGAGGTTATTTATACCTATACACTTTTGATCTGAGCCGTCTATCGCTTTTAATCTGAACCGTCCGATCGCAATTAAATAGAGAATGAATTTGGACCGTCCATCGTGATTCAATTTGGGTCGTCCGTGTGCGATGCAATCTGGGCTGTCCGTGCGTGGGGGAACGGATCTCAGCCGTTCGATCGCGCGCACACGGATCGCCCATGTGGCTCCCTCCCGCGTGGCCTCCCGTGTGGCCTCCCGCGTCAGCGTCTCTGCCACCTGGCACGTCCTGGTTGGCCGGGGCTGCTGAACGGGCAGCTGACGTGACACAACTTTTCTAAATTACGTTGTGACCCCCGGTTTCTGATTTTTCTTTCAAAAATATTATCAGAACCTAAATTTTCAGTCTTTTTTTCCAAAATTATTTTCAATTAGATCCTTAAATAATTTTTGTCATTTATTATTATTATTATTATTTTCATTAAAATAAATTAAACTAAATTAAATTTAATATAAAATTACATAAATAATAATTATATTCATACAATAATAACTAATAAAAGGAAAAAAAAGGGTTGGGTGTTACAAAGATGGTAGATACCTTCTATTTTCTATTACTTTTCTTATTTTTCGTATACCTTTCAGAAAATTCATTTCCGAAATTTTTGTTTAGAACTTTTAAATTATTTTGTAAGGAATGTAAATTTTAACATTTTATTTCGTTTATGCACTTAAATTATTATATATTTTCTTTTAAATTTCCGGAATCGTTACAATAAAAATGATAAAAATATCATATTTAAGCAAAATTAAAATTTATATTTTTATTAATAAGTTTAACTTCTTTTATAACTAACCATCTATATCTTTTATTTGATATTATAAAAAATAACTTGCATGTTAAAATTTTTTAAATTATAAAATTAAGACAAAATATCATTCTGAAATAAAAATGTCATAATCATAAATTTTAATCAATACAAATGACAATTAATTGTAAGAAATATATAATTTTATATTATACTTTTTAAAAATTATTATATATAATTTTTGTAGTCAAAGAAAAAACTTTTCCAAAAAAAAAGTAAATATTTTCCTACCTATCTTTTTTTGATAATTACAGAAATTCCCCATAAATACTGAAACTTATCCATCTTTCACTGTCTATCGCGGGACTCAAACTTCCAGTCCGAAATCCCACGTTGGCCGATGGGTCATGGCATTCTCCATGATCGCACGAAAGCTCTACAGATCTCCTCTCTCCTTCTCCTTTCTCCTTCATTCCACCATTGCTCTCTCATCTTTTTCTGCGTCTTCAAGTGCTGCCTCTCTCTATTCTGCGTTTCATCGAACAGTTTCTCCACACTTCCGAGCTCCACTTATCAACCCTAATTTACTCACTTTCCGTTCATTTTCCAACCAAGTCATTCACGATTCATTTGGTTTCACCGAACCCGCCGCCAATACGTGCAACTCTCAGGTACTGACTCTCCTTGATTTGCTCAAACGAGTTGCGAATTTGGACTCCGAGGCAGAGGCCATGGCTTCTCTCCTTGAGTCCCACATCGAGCCAAGTCCAGATTTGGTGTATTCAGTGACTTGGGCATTGAAAGGTGAATGGAGGGTTGCGTTTTTGGCGTTCAAATGGGGGGATACATGTGGCTGTAGTGATGAAAAAGTTTGCGAGTTAATGGTTTGGATATTGAGTAATCACAGAAAGTTCAACACTGCTTTGTGTTTGATTCGTGACATGTATCGGTGTTCGATGAATCCCAGAAGGGCTATGCTTATAATGATTGATAGGTGAAACTCAACTCTATAAAGATGCTGTTTTGGATTATCCTCTCTGGTTTCTTATAAGATTAAGCTTATCAGAAATTTGAACTGACGTTTTTTATCAATCTGTATACTTTTTTCATCTGGTGCATACTAGGTATGCGGCTGCAAATGATCCATGCAAAGCTATTCGGACATTCCATGTTATGGAGAAGTTTAGACTGGCACCTGATGAAGAAGCATTTCACAGTCTCTTGAATTCTCTTTGTAAATATGGTAATATTGAAGAGGCTGAAGAGTTAATGCTTGTAAATAAAAAGCTCTTTCCTTTGAACGTTGATGTCTTTAACATTATTCTAAATGGTTGGTGTAATATATGTTTGGATTTGTTTGAAGCAAAGAGAGTTTGGAGAGAAATGTCAAAGTGTTGTATAACACCTGATTCAATTTCTTATGGTCATATGATTTCTTGCTTTTCAAAAGTTGGGAATCTTTTTGACTCTCTGAGACTGTTTGATGAAATGAAGAAACGAGGTTGGGTCCCTGGTGTTGAGGTTTATAATTCTTTGTTTTATGTATTGACTCGTGAGAATTGCTTTGAGGAAGCTCTGAAACTCCTTGAGAAAATGAAAGAAACAGGACTGAAACCTGATTCAGCCACTTACAATTCAATGATACTTCCTTTGTGCCAGGCAAAAGAGGTGGATAAGGCAAGAAATGTGTTGGCCACTATGATAGGGGAGAATCTCAACCCAACAACTGAGACATACCATGGATTTCTTGATGGTGTTGGTATTGAAGGAACTTTTAAAATTCTTAACCAAATGAAGATTGATGGTTTGGGTCCTAACGGAGATACCTTTCTCCTTATCCTTAGAAGATTTTTGGAAGTACAGCAACCTGAAAATGCATTGAAGATTTGGGCAGAAATGAAGAATTTTGAAGTAGCAGCTGATTTTGCTCACTACAAGGTGTTGGTGCAGGGGCTAGCAGCCTGCGGATGGCTGATAAAAGCTAAGGAATTCTATGTTGAGATGACGTCAATCGGATTTACGGGCGACCCAAAGCTCCAGAGGCTCCTTAAGGAGCCAGGGCGTGGCAATAATGATAAGAGAGCACAGCAAGGGAAACAGGTTAGGAGACCTAAAAATGTAACTAAATGGAGAGGCAGTTCTTTGAGACGGAAGAAAGAGAGGAAAACAAGATCAAATGAGTCTATTTGAAGCCATGGCAGAACAGGAAAAGAAGATCACGAGTCTATTTGAAGCTATGGCAGAACATTCTGAAAACTACTGGAGCAGCTGCCTTTGGCGTTCTATTTTTAATATATGCTGATAAGTCACTGAAAAACATTGAGAAGGATGCCTATTATCAGAACATTCTGAGAGGCAGTTCTTTGAGACGGAAGAAAGTGAGGAAAACAAGATCAAATGAGTCTATTTGAAGCCATGGCAGAACAGGAAAAGAAGATCACGAGTCTATTTGAAGCTATGGCAGAACATTCTGAAAACTACTGGAGCAGCTGCCTTTGGCGTTCTATTTTTAACATATGCTGATAAGTCACTGAGAGACATTGAGAAGGATGCCTATTATCAGCAACCTGCCGGTTTTTCCAACATATTTAAGCTTGTGTTATGAGAGGAGCATTTCCTTTCTAAATTGCAACATGGAAATTTCTTTTGCAAAGTAGTCAGCTATCTGGGTAGTGGGCATCATCAGTCTCTCACTGCAGTACATTCTGGTATGCATTTATTAAATCTAGTAGGCTTGTGATTGTAAATTTGCAAGAATCCCTGTACTTTGTCAAATATCTTGTTTTCTTTAACTAGAAAACTACCAGGCACATTGATTTACATGTATATACATATATAGAATTGGGTAAAAATTGATTTGCCAGACACTTGAGTCATGGCACAGGCAGTGTTAACGGGGAGCTTGGCTTAACTTACCAAAGATCTGAATTAAAACATGAGACTTAGCTTATTTATTATGAATTTTGAGTATAGTTGTGTCTTGCAGTCAAGCTCCCTCTTGCTTTTGCCTACCAAGATATCTAGAGCATTAATCAAGCTTAAATATTTCAACTTTTTCCATTGATTCATGTTTTACTTAGTTGATTTCACTATTTAAATGATTTGCATGTTCTCGAACTCATCAGTCTCTAGCTGATGGCAGAACGGAATGCGTGGAACATGATGAGGAAAAGATTGGTGCCAATAGAAGATTTCAGAATTCCCTTTTTCAGGCCATGATCCCTTCCTTCCAAGGGTGTTTATGTAAGAATTGGTAATGGTGACTCTTTATCATTTTCGAGATGATTCTTGATCTTTTGAACCAACCATTTAACCCCTCCCCCACTATCCATGGTGACTCTTTATCATGGTTACTCATGATAAATGGATTTAAGTGTGGTATCTAATGGCTCTTACCTTATAAAATTTGCTTGCAAGTATAAGCAGTTATGTAAAATCAACTAGAGGCATTCCCTCTCGGATGTGAGTTGCCTTTGGCATGCTAAGATATAACAATGACTTAAGCTGCATTAATGGTGTCTCTTCAATAAAAGCTTCATGATGATACAAACACATCCTATTAACTCTTTAAGTATTACCTTTGCAAAATCTTGGAAACATGTAATCATCTCTTTCTTAGAATGTTTTTTTCATTTAACTTCTTCATATCACTCTTAATAAAGTTTTAAATTTGAGAATATACTAATATATAATATATATTAAAGAACTATTGTATTATATTCTTAATATGAATAAAATCGACAAAAAAGGATGTAGTAAATATGACAAATCTTATTTATGAATCTATCAGTACGAATCTCTTTTGGTACTAAAGGAACAAAGTAAGGTAACGAGAATTTATAAGATGTAAACATTCAGAAGTTTCCAACATCTTCACGCTTCTTTTGTATTAACATTCAGATATTTTTTTCGATAAATATTTTTTTATTAGACAGTTGAAAAGAATTTCGTTTATATAAATTTAATTTATATATTTTTACATTTTCAAATAAGTTAATAAAAAAGATTTTTTTGAATACGTTTTTCAATAAGGAATTTGTCTAATTAATCACCGTATTTTGTTTGGTTAAGAAATTATGATATAAAGGAAGTGAAATAGTAAAAATATATCATTACATATTAAGTTTTTCTAATAAAAAATTTCACTGTTAGATATATAACATATATATGTTAAGGTTTGATGTTATTTGACATTTACTCAAAATTCATGGGCATGATTGATTCAATAAAAAAGTTAAAAAGGACTTATTTGATATAAAGACAAAAATTCGGGGGCATTTATGCAAATGTTCCAAAAAGTTAATCCACGACAAGAATTATTTGTAGAACCTGATTTTGTTATGCTCTTCTGCTTTTCGGCTTGTGGATGTAATTTTGGGCTATTGGGCCCAAAACACAACCACTTACCATGGAAGACAATAACTCGAAGAAGCCAGTTCCAGTAGAGAGAGAAAGTAAACCTAGAGAAAAGCCGGTGAGGAAGTGAAGTTGAAAGAGAAAGTCTATTCGTAGGGGAAGTACGAAATGGGAACCGAGGCGAAAAGCACTGGCGGTAATTTAGGGGGAGGAGGATTCAGGTCAAAAATGGATCGCGTCCTTTACAGTGGAGAAAAGAAGCATGTCATAGCTGGAATCGCGATTATAACTTTTGTTTTTGGCGTTCCTTGGTATCTCATGAATCGCGGTACTTTCTTTTTTTTTTTTTGCTTCAGTAATTTCGTTCAGTTTTTTTCTTCTTCTTTGGTCACGGAGATGGTGAATAGGCTAGAAAATGGAAGTGAATTTAAATTGGACTTTTTGTTTGGCAACTGCTTCGTCCGTTGTATAGCATATTTTCTTGTGATGACGAGGTACTGAGAGAAAATGGATGAAAGTTAGCATTTTGGAGCTTCACTTTTTGATCTTCTTGGATTTGGAATGTAATTCTATAAATGTAGCTTGTTGGGAACTAGTAGAAGTTGTTACCTTTGTGCTTTTTAACATGTACTTTTACTTCTAAAAAAAAGAGTAGTCAACTTTGAGAGCTTTTTCTTTTTAATTTTTAATTTTCTTGCAATTAGGGAAACTGAAGCTTTTTGAACTACTTGGAGATGTTGAAGATTGCTGAAATTGAAGGAAGTCTTAATAAGAATTGAAAAGGATATTAAAAAAGTAATAGTTATAGTTATTTTGGATTAGAATAAAGGAGTAGTTGGATGTCTGGTTGAATATATTTATTATGCTGTGATGAATGAGAACATTTTATTTGTGGAATGATTAATATAAATATATGTGAGAGAGGGTATTTTTTTTTTTCTTGAAGATTTATTTACTCAAGTTTTCTCTTTCCACCTAAGTGGATTTTAAAAGGTCAACAGAAGTGTCAATTGTTCTGATTAAATATCCCAGGACTGACTATATTCAGAATTAGTTCTTGAAGCAAATGGACGATCAGGTTTTCACTTTGTTCTATCTGTGTGGTATTAGAGACCTGAGCTATATGTGCCTAAGTTTGTCTTTCTTTTGGTTCATTTATTTGTTAAGGACCCATGACATGAGTGTTTAATGGATAAGGTCTAAATGGTGCTTGTTGGGTTAGAGAGATTAACATCAAAGAATCTAAATGTGGATGGAAATTAAACTTGCAGGTCTCCTGTACCTTGATAACTATTCTATTTCAACTGTGAGTTTGGGGTAAAATACCGGACAGTGTTCTTCTTATTTTTCCTGTTGGTTAGATTTGGGAGATAAAGGTAACACAGGGAGTGACTTTCTTCATTCGGGAGGCCACAGAGGAATATATTCTTACTTTTTGATAACTTGATTAGGAGAGGCTAATTTCATGTGAACGGATACTACTTGTGCAAAAGAGATGCAGAATCTTGTAATCACATCCTCTCGTGGTGCTTATTTGCATTGAGAAGATGGAGTTTGGCTTCTGCTTTGCTGATATAGGGTAATAGCGGATTCAATTAAGAATGATTGTATGCTTGGAAAGGACTCCGATGATATAAGAGGTTAAAACTTATTTTTTTGGGCCACCTTTTGAGTCATTTGAAAAGAAACAATAGAAGGATTTTTTAGGGTACATAAATTAATTTCGATAGATTTAAAGATACTCTGTTCCAAACCTTAAGCTTTTTGATTTTATCTCAACGAAAAACCTTAAGCTTTTTGATTAGGCGCAGTGATAACAAGGAAGAAAGGTGCATTGTTAACCAGATTTTGTGTGTATTTTTTTGAAATAAAAAAAATGGAAGTAATGCATGGTTTATCTGCTTCTTTTTTCCTTCTCCATCTCCTCCCCTCCCCCCTCCCCCCTCCCCCAGCTGTCCTTTACTTAAAGTCTTGTCTCCTCGGGACCTCCTAACTGTGACATGAGTTAGGAGGTTTTTAGAACTTTGTTGTGGTGCATAGTTTTCTTCTTAGATTGATCAACGGATTGTGTAAATTTGGCTGTAGTTGTTCTTCGTGGTTGCCTATAGTTGTTTAATCCTTAGCTGCAGAATCTGGGGACTGGTTTGAACTAAATCTAATTTTAATTTATCTAAAAAAAAATCTAATTTAATTGTTTTGCAGGATCCAAGCATCAGTCACATCAAGATTACTTGGAAAAAGCTGATAAAGCCCGAAGTGCCCGGCTATCTTCAGCTTCATCCTCTGCCAAATGATATTTCCTCTTTTTGATTGAACTTGGTCACAATTTTTTGCAGTTAGGTATAAGTCTATAGGTGCTCTTTGCCCTCTGCAGTCTGATATTTTGTATTGCATTCCCATTCCATAATCTATTAGACATGCATCTTCAATTCCATGATACAATATTACAAAATACAATAACAGATAAGTTCTGCTCTTGCATATGGGTTGAATTGGCTTTAAAATGTTTTCAAGGTGGATAATAGTTTGATATTTTAGGAGGAGTTGACGCTTTCACTAAGAGATACTTGTTGTATTCTGTTAGCACAGTTTGTTTGATTAACTATGCAAGCCTTAACATGAAATAATCATATTGGGAAATACATGGCTTAATTCTGATTACATCTTTCTGTTGGCTTTGCTCTGTCTATCTCTCTCACTCTCTCTCTCTATATATACATACATATAGCCGGGGGGACATTTTTTGCCATACCAGCATGATTGTTTGCTGGTTTAATCCCATAATTGTATTCTGAATGCCGCATCAAAGAGTCTGATGTTGATTCCCATGTGGAGTGAATATAAACAGATTTGCATATGATTATGTAAATAACTCTGTTTTGGATGTGGGTCTTTCTTTCAAATGGTAAAATTGCTTTGCCTCAAGAAGGAAATATGAGAGGAAAGGCTAGCTATTTCTTGAAAGCATCTCATACTAGAATGTAGCTGTGTTTTAACTTGTATAAACATGTAAATTAAATTGTTTGTCATTACATGATGCAAATTTTGAGATAAAGTTTAGAAAATCTCCAGTTTAAATTTTATCCAAGTAGTTTAACATTTTGAATGTTGTAAATTTGTGGTATTAGAGCTTGGGAAGTGTGTGACCTTTGGTTTTGGATTCTAATTTCTTGGAGGTTTAGATAATGTGGGAATTGGTGTGTTGACATATTTTCTTTAAACTATTATTGCTTATTTTAATCGCATTTAATTCTTTTGTTTTTAAATTGTTTTGAAAAGGAAAAGATTAGTTCGAGTTTTTAATCCATTATAATTATCTCAATTAAGATAACTTAATCGTTATATAAAATATATATTTTTTATTTTAATATAGAAACATAGCATATCAGTTTTTTTTCTTTTTGGAACTGAGAGAATTGTTTTGTGTATTTTAACAATGTAAGAAACAAGACTTATCTAACTTTACTTAAATTTGCATGCTTATACCCACTATGATTATACTAATGTTGTGTTTTACCAATTATTTTATTTTTCTTGAATTCTTAAGAGTTTTAGTTGACATATTTAATGAAAATTTTTGTTAACTGGAAATGAAATGAGAAAAGAAGTCAAATTTCATTGATACATTAAAACATTTTTTTCATTTTTTAGATCTTTATTCATGTTTTTGTAAATAAATTTATTCATGAATTGCACATATGTAAAATAATTAAAACATAAATAATTTTTTTAGTAAACATTAAAATTTTTCTAATACTAATTATTATTTTATCATTATCATCTTTATTTTTAGTTGAGTATACGACTTTTTTAATAGAAAATACATGATTTTAAAATAAAACATTTTCATGCACTCACATAACAAAGGAAGCCCCAGACTTTGTGGAGTCTGCTTTCTAAAATAAAACATTTAATGCAGAAATTTCTTTGAAGCTTTGTATTTTAACTTTTGTGTTTAAACACGCTAAAAGTATATTTTAATTTTAGTTTTGACAAAAAAATACTTTCTGACAGCAAACTATTTGAAACCTTCAGCAGAGAAGAAGAAAAATGATCAAATTCCAAGCCTATTTGCAAAAAGTTTGGCTAAAACCTAAATCAACCATGACTTCTACATAATGTTCATGAAGATGATATGGTTACCTCCATAGCTTCCACCAAGCCTCATAAGAAGTGTAGAACCAATCAACCATATTCCTTATTCCTGTCTGCTGAAACCCAATTTTAGCTTGATCAGAAGTAACAGAAAACATTACCAGCATCTCCATATGAGGATTAGCTGCAATTATTCATATAATATATACCATTTGAATACAGGAAGAGATAAATTATCAGAATGAAAGAATTGCTCATTTTTTGAGCTAGACCAACTGATCTTTTCTAATTTCTTCATTTAATCTAGAAAGTTAAAAGAGCAACTAGAAAATACTAATTCCTTAATAGCTTGACTGCAGTTTCCTCACAGCGGCATAAGTCTTCTATACTTGAAGAACCAAACAAACGCACAGAATATGATAACTCCAACGACTCCAGTTATTATGAGGACCCATTTGAATGCATCAGGTTCATCAAATAATGGTATTGTAAAGTTCATACCAAAGATCCCTGCCACCACCCCAAAAATAGCAACTACAAAAGTTGCAGTTGTAAGAAGCAGCTCAAACTGGATCAGCTGATTTCGGACATTATCCTGCATGCCAATGTTATCTTAGATTTCCAAGTTTCAATTGTTTTCTCTTATTGACATTAAAAAAAAAAAAATCCAATTATACCAAGTGGAAGACCTAATGCTTGATACAAGCTTCTTCCATGCACTGTTAACAAAATGAGTTCACCCTAGGTGACAATTAAGCATGAAGAATGTTGCTTTCTCAATTATCTATTTAAGAGGTATAACAGGAGTCACGGTTACAAACTTCCATTCAGGCTGTTTTAGTATGCCTAAAGGAAAATAATTGCAATTTTGAATGGAATCCACACTGTCAAGCTCCATGAAGAGAGCAGGTAAGAGTACGAGGCTCTGACCTTTTTATGTAAGGAAATTGGTCCCAAAGAAACAAAAAACAAATGAAAATGAGATAACATACCAGCTGAATGTTAATAAAATCCTCTGTATCATCAATGTACTCCTTTAGCTGAAAAGATAGAGAGACGGTAAGGATCCTTAGTAAGTTGCATTTCTTGTGGAAAGAGAACATGCGAGAATTAGATACAAAGAAGTTCTATATATGCACAAATTAAATGCTAGATAAACATACCGATGTCAACTTATTTAGTGTGCTATCAATCACAACGAAATACGCTTCCAGCAACATCTCCAGCTCTTCTATGCTCTCTGTTGTACTTTCTGAACTCCTCATGCTTTCATGCCGACTCCTTGCAATGCTCAAGCTTTTCTCTAGCCTTCTAGATTCAAGAGGAGAAGAAACAGGAGACACTGGAGCAGAAACAGATTGTGCACCATCAGTTGATCGGAGTCCCATTAAAGACTGATCACCATAAAAAGATGATTCCATCCTTCTCTTCTTCTCAGTGAGATACATTTCAGCCATATCTCCATCATCATCCATAAGCTGCTCGATCTCATCCCTAACCTAACACGTGTTTGGTTTTGGGTTAAGGTATAGGGGGGAAGAGTGGAGGAAACCTGTAACCTTCCATCTAATACTTGCATTTAATATAAGTGCTATACCTTCTGAACTCTTCTAGTCAAAGCAACCAGTCTGCTTTTTAATCTGCGGACTCGCTCCAAATTTAATGTACTGATCTTTGACGTGAGCTCATCTAACAATGGATAGGCTTCAATTTCTAATTCTGCTGCCTTTTAGAATTGACAACATCAATAAGTTGCAAACTAGATCAAGTAATCAACCTTTAAACTATATATTACAACAAACTACTGAAACCACCGGGCAAAGAACTCCAACAGTCCAAGTAGGAAATAACTTCTATTCTTCCTATAACATTGTTTTTCAAGGTTAGACAGCCTAATTATGGTTAAAAAGAACAATTTGCATTTCTAATTTCAGAAGTTCAGAAAGTTAAAATGAAGAAGCAGCCATCAACTACCTTATTATATATTTCATAAAAATATAAAAAGTAAAAGCACAACCAGTCAAAATATGCTGCACGATTCATAAGAAAAATTACTTTATCCATGATTCGAGGTGCATACTCATTTTCATTAAACTCAAGGATATTCACTTGGATTCATACACTAGGTCAATCACATTTTGAGTGTTATGCTACTGGTTCCTTGACCTCCCTACTTAATATAGCAAAAGAACTTTTGATTGTTTGCTTTCTGCTTCAAATTGCTTCCGTTACAGCTTGGTCACTAGTTGCAAGCTTTGCGATCTTCTTGGCCTTAAAACTTTTTATATGCTGTGTACCCATTGGTTGCAAGATAATGTCTCTTTTTTCCGTGAAAAATAACATGTATTTTCTTTCGTACTATGATGTGCATCTCGATCAGATAACCGAGGTCGACCAAGAAGGATACTAGTCATTTGGCATGGAAACAACAAAACAAAGATGGTATTTCTATACTTACCACAATGGAAAGGGCCAAGGCCTTGACTCAATAAAATTGTTATATCACTAATTTAGACTTGTCTTGTATGGTCGTGGATGTGGTTTTGTAATAAGTTTGAGACTCTCTACAGTTGAGGCGAACACTACAATCATGCAACTTCCACTATCAGTAGCAAGCTTGTTGGATTTAGATCCACAAATGACACAAGCGAAGAGGCAAGTTTCCTCTTCTTCCTCTTCTTCTTCTTCAATCAGGACATGTAAGTTGTTCTTCTTAGGGCATTGATAACCTATATGGCTTGGCTTTCCAAAGTTGAAGCAGACTATTTCTTGACCTCTATTATAGGGTGTGTTTGAAGCCGATTTTGCAAAAATAACTTGGTTTGAAGCTCCTTGAATAGAACCTACTTCTAACAATAAGTTGCTGAAAAGTTTCTTCTAGTGGTTGATTCTCTAGGAGAAAATTTAAATTTCCTTGAAGTTGGTACTTCAAATCGTCTTTTCTTTCTAGACCAGATTGGTATATTTGGGCTTTGGTTGTAGGATGCTGCCAAATTAACTCTCTTCTAATATAACTCTTGATCCTGCTCTGAACTGAGATGGTGCTTGACTATCATTTTCTATCAACTGATAGTGAATCTTCAAATTAAATTTCTACACTTGGTGATCGACATGTTCCCTTAAAATCAAAGTGTAGTATTTGTCATGAATCTCGTCATAGTTGAGAGGAAAATATTTTCTAAAAAGAGTAGTTTTCATCTCATCCCATGTTATCGATTGCCTTTTCCAAACAAGATTCTAATTAACACTATACCACCATATTTTATGAGTCCAACTAATCTTATTTTGGTAAATATAACCCTTCATGCATTTGACATTTTATAACACTTAAAGTATTCATCATTTGAATTAAGTCAATCAATTACGATAGTATTTACAAAGTTCCAACTAATAATAATAGTAATAAAATGAGTAATACTACTCCTAATAAAGATAGAGAAAACAAAATATTGATAAATTGAAAAGTATAAAAATAACCTAAATAATTTTTTTAAAAAACAAAATAACCTAGATAATATAATTCTTCAATAGTAAATTACTATTATGCTATGTGCTATCAAAGTGTTTGAAGGCACTGAGCCTAATGTGGCCGCATTTACGGACTATTGGTTCCAAATCTTATGTATTTTGTTGAAAGCCGATCTAAATCTAAGATTTGTGCCTTCGCTTATAATATTAGGTTTTTTCTCTCAAAAAAAAAGTTCTGACTTTCAGGCTTGTTCTTCAAGAAATCAAGGGGAAGTTAGATGGGAAGAGTAATCATAGTCTAACAGGCTCTTTGCAGTTGCTTATTTTAGAGACAGAACTGTCCTTAAAGTGGCACTAGTTGTTTTAAACTATTATATAGTCCATTTTCTTAGCTTGGAAAATGGTGGAAGAGTTTAGTTCAGGGAAGTAATAACTCTAGTTTTCTGCATTACGCACCTGAGAATCAAGAAAAGTACAGGCAGCTTCTAACGCAACTTCAAGAGCCCTAAATTCAAAGGGCAAATAATCAGGAGACGTGCTTGCAAATACATTATCGAAGTTCTTACTTCTCCTTCTGTTCAAATCTGGATTATCTGACTGCCAAACATCACCCACAGCACTTGTCGTTAATCGTCGCTGCAGCTCCACCACATACTGCAGTACATAGCTATCAAGGGAGTTCAGGAGCAAGACCTCTTCAGCAGTGATAATGCACCGAATCTGCTCCAAATTGACTACAATAGCCTTCTCTCTACCAAGGATTGTTGATGGGTAAACAAAGAGAGGATCAAGCAAGCGTAGATCACGGGCAGGTAGATCACAACGACGCATCATGGTAAACTTATCAAGCTCAATGATCTGGGAATTCCCAGATGTATCAACACGAATCCAAGATCGAAGTCCTTGGCCACGCTTCTTCAGCCCCAAAAGATCTACTCCTTGGAAAGGTTGTCGTCCAGAGGCAGAAGGTCGGGAAGAAACATCTCTGAGATTCATAGCAGATGCAGGTTTTGGAGGGAGAAGGCGCTCTTTGAGGTCCGCCATTGATTCCGAGCTGTAAATACCGAAACATATGGAAAAGATTAGACAATAACAAATTCCACATATGGTAGGAACATAACTATTTAAGTAAAAAATCCTACCAAACAGGCATATAGTTATTCAGATCCATCAGTTGAACCAAGAGTCTTCTGAACAACAAGATAATTTAGAAAATTAACTTTAACAAAACCAATCCACAATGACAGACTTAAATAGATATTTCTGAACTGCATTAGTAATTAAGTCAAATATTACTTTGCTTTTGTTTAGAGAAATTAAATAGTAATATATTTTTGGGACTTGATCCTCAATAATTTTCAAGGAGTTTCCATTTTCCTTTTTCGTTTCAACAGTTTAAATATCCAGTTAAATGCATATAGTTAAACAAAAATTGTAAACCACATTAATGATTACTTATGTTAAACAATCATTACTTATGTTAAACAATCATGTGTCCTTAGCTTCTCTTTGAGCTAAGGTGCACAGATCCTTTAAAGAACTTTCTACTATGCTTAAGAGGGATTCGTTAACTATATTTTATTGATACGTGGCTACCTTTATTTTCATGTCTGTTTTCTCTTTTTTGTCTTTCTGGAGGACAGATTACCTGCTGTAGTTTGTATTCTCTCTTTCTTCCACTATCCCTTTTTTTTTTCTAGAAAAGAAATGATACATAATCATTATCCTAAAAAACTCCAGACTGGAAATGACTCCAGTTCATGAATTCACCCATCATTGCAGACGAATTCTATTCTTTTCTAAAACTAATATATCACAAAGTGATACAATTATAAAAAAGAATAATTCCCACGTTTTAAAGCATTTGAATTAAATAGGCTAAAAACATAAAAGTAATTCCATAATTTTTAGTTTGCACCAGAGATGGACTAAGCAAGAGATAGAAAGTACACAATCTCACAGGGAATGGAAATGAGCTAGTTAAATTTGCCACTCATTCAAAATTCGAAAGTAATACTGAAAGGGGAAAAAAATAAAAAAACCCACCATTCTCTTTCACTTCCACCCTCCTCCCACACCCTCTAATTATTGCCGTCTGCTCCCACCTGTTCATTTGTTTTCCTACTTAACAATAATCAGTCACCATCCTCAATCCGCACCTCTTCCAAAATCCTATAACCTGACCTATTGAACTAAACATAAAATTCCTAGAACCATCTCAGCAACTCCGTCGAAACGAAAAATAATTCATTATTCCCAATAAACCCAATATTCCCAACATTTATAATAGTGAGAATATCAGACATTAATCTTTGTGGGAAAAACTCAAGGTCCAAAATTATTAGCCAAACAGATCAATTTGAAACAACCCATTTCAAATATAAATACGTCAACTTTAAACAGTTACACAAAGTCTTAACATGAGAAACCTAATACAGAAATCGAAAAACAAGTGTATTACCGAAAACAAGAAGAGATAGTATGTAATTCTCAGGACCTCGATCCCCAGCGTGGCGTCGTAGTGAGTCTCACGAAACGTTGAATGAAAGAAGAAAAATATGAGATTGAGAAGCAAAATAGAGAGAGAAAACGAAACGATCGGTGCACCGGACCAGTTGGTGGGCCTGTGGCGGTGGCAGAGATGGAAGAGTTGTGTGAGTGACAAGTGACTATGGAGGAACGCACGCGAGAGAGTGAACAGAGAAGCTAGAGAAGAAGAGGGGTCGCCTAGCTGTTCATTTTGATAGTTTTATTTATTTATTTTTGTTTTTTGAGTTTGTAAGTTTGACTTTAAATAGGTAGGACTTCATATTTATTTTAATTATAAAAAAACAGTAAATTATTTATAAAATAAATTTAAAATTTAAAATAATTTAAAAGTATCTCTACTTAATAATTTTGTTTAAAATTAAATTTTCAACATGTGCGAGTGTTAAGCGTAAAATATAATTTTAAAATATCATTACATAATTATACAAAAATAATATAAATACTAAACAAAAAAAATTATAATAAAATATTAAAAATTTATCATACATTATTTTTTTTTTGGGAAGATTTGCATGATAAATAAGATATGAAAAATAAAGAGGTGATGAAAAGTTTATATAGTGCATAGTTTTAAAGTTTTATAATCAACTTAAAATTTAAATAAATAATATTGTATATATATATATATTTGTAGTTACTTAAAAACTAAATTTTATTTTATATTACAAATATCATTACTTTAACTCTATTTTTTATTATGTGTGTTACTATTTTAGTTAAAACTTTATAAATAATTATTTTATATAAATAGCAATAAGAAACGTGAAAAAAAAAAGAAAAAAGAAAAAAGGATATGGTGAATCTAAATGGGGAAATATGTTGAGGTGATAGGAGTTATCAAAAGAAAGGAGCCAAAACTCCCTTTTTAAAAGAGAAGGACAATGGCTTCAAAGGCAAGAAGTTTGGAGAGAAATTGAGAGCATGTAACGACCCCGGAAATATTAAAATGAAATGAGTATTTAAATATATCAAATGCGGAAGCGAGATCAAAATTTCAGTTGACATCCCTTACACGAAAACCAAAAACGTACTTAAATTATAAAAGGTTAAACTAACTAAAAGAGAAACTCGAAAACAAAGCTATGAGTATGACTACAGAGTCTCTAGGCATCCCTTTCGTCGTCCTCCTGCAGAACGGGCTCGGGAACCAGGTCTTCCTGATCTGAAATGGTTAAATAAGGAGTGAGCTACACTAGCCCAGTAAGAACATCACGATATATCACCGTCACGGAGGTAAAAGTGGGTAGAAAACACAAAAAGACCAATGGAGCATAATTTACAACAAACTCGTTTATTAACATAAAAACCTTTACCATCCACTTACCTCGGTGGAATTTATGAAAACAATATAAGAAAAACAATAACATTATCATAATCATGGAATAATATAAGCTGTAAAACATAACACTTATCACGCCTCTTGTAATTCAATCATTATACAACATATCTTTTTCTCATTTACCAGCTACTAGTATCCGTGGGGGTCCATAGGGGTCCCGCTACCCGTTAACCTTTAACATTCATAATCAGTTTCCAGGGTCGTCCCCATACCCCGTCCGGTATGGGCGCCCAAAACCATAAACCTCAATACCCCGTCCGGTATGAGGGTGAAACGGGCCGTCCTCATACCCCGTCCGGTATGGGCGCCAAAACCATAAGATCTCCATACCCCGTCTGGCATGTGAGACCACAATCCCGGTAGGGTTCCCTACGGACCCGGTCCGTCCACCATCTCCCAGGATACCTAGTCAGGCTGACCCCCATAATACAATTATCAGTCTACACAATCTTTCATTTTCCTTTTCCTCAGTCAGCATCATCAATTCACATTTAAACAAACAAATCGTAATTCATGCCAAACAGACAACATACAGTATCAGTTTTTCAGTCATTCAACCCATAATTAATAAAAAACGTAGTATATGCACACAAATCTGTAAAATGAACACATCAAACCTCATTTTGCATTTAAAGCTGTAAACAGGCCAAATAACAGTAAATCACCAATCATACTAGATTCGGGCTCCATTAGCCACCTTAAGCAATTTCACACATTCGTTAATTCAAGAAATACCGTTTTATCATTTTGAACTTTAATACCGTGATAGGAAATAGGGTGAGGGGTCCTTACACGTTTCGGGGTCCGAACACGGCTTCACAGTGCGCCTACAGGCTGTCCCTAATTTTTCCTGAATTTTTTCCCGGGAAACTGAAACGCACTGCTAGTACCTGCACGTGTTCCAAAAAAAACCCAAATTAGGCCCAGGGCCTCAATCGGCCCAAATCGCAACTCCGGCACGGCGGCTCCGCCGTGCTCCGGCGACGGCACCGGCGGCGAGCCGCCACGGGTTGGCTGTTTTCGGCCGAATTCGGCCACACTCGCATCGGTCCCTGTGAGAAAACAACCCTAGGGCCCTCGGGGGGCCAAAAAATCACGGAAAAACGGAGCTTACCGGCGGCGGCGCTCTCGGGTGCGACGGCTCTCCGGCGAGGTTCGTGTTTTGGTGATTCGGCTCCGGTCAACCTGTAGAGAAAAGAATGGTGATCACGGTGATATAAAAATTGCATCAAACGGAGGCCGGAAAGGGCCTCATCGGAGGCAAAAACCGAGAAGGGGCGCGGCGGCGCCGCTGGGCTTCGGCCGTGTATTTCGGCCGTTTGGCCGGGATTTTGGCTCCGATTTGGCCACAGGAGGAATCAGCGTGGAAAAACGAGTCGGGGGTACGAAATTTACCTCGATCGGCGGTCGGAAGTTCCTCCGGTGCGGCGGCGGGTGGCGGCGGCCGGCTTCTGGTTCGTCTTCTCCGGCGAGCGGCAGGCGGCTAAGGTTTGTGGTCTGGTGTGGGGGTTCTATTTATAACCCCTTGCCCTTTGATCTCAGCCGTCCATTTTGTTTTAATCTGGGCCGTCCGTTTTTGATTAAATCTGGGCCGTCCGTGTGATTAAATCTGGGCCGTCCGATCGCCCGCTTGATCTGGGCCGTCCAATCGCGCCCACGCAGATCGCCAACGTGGCCCTTTTGGAACGACGTGGTATTGCCACGTGGCAGGTCCTGGTTGGCCGGGACTGCTGACCGGGCCTGCTGACGTGGCTGCTGACGTGGCTTTTTTTTTTTCCTCCTCCTTTCCGGGTGCTACAGAGCATCAAAGAGTTAAGGAGGCGAAGAGAGGAAGGGAAATCAAGAGAGAAAAAAAAGGCTTCAAGTTTAAGGGAGTCTAAGAGATGAAAAAAGAAAAAGAGAGAGGAACTAGGTTTGAGAATGGAGAGGAGAAGTGATTTAGCTATTTGTCATTCTTTAGTTTTTAGTTCTAAATTTTATTTTACTGGGTTATGTATACTGATTACTTTAATTTTTAGATATTTTGAGGCAAGAATCGGAACCAAAATGCTTAAAAACAGGATATTACTATTGAAACTAAGATGTAGTACTATAACTAACTGTATAAAAATAGTGGAGGGATTTTCATGTGTTTGGTTGTGTTTGTAGACTAGCTTTGAGTCTAGAGTTGTATCTGTTGTAACGAACTTCATGGTTACTGAATAAGAGAATTGTCTTGATATTCTAGATACATTGTATTGGTACAAGATAATGAATATTTTATTTTAATGTAATTAGGACAGGGCATGAGTTGTCACATTATTGGACACTTTGGTGATTTGTGTTAGGCTTGATTTAGGATTTAATAACACCTACAAGTATTTGTTTGTGAAACTTCTTTTTAATATTATGTAGAATCAATGACGTGATGTTAGATACAAGAGTAAAACATTTTTTTAAAAGTTTTATGAAAAATGCATGATGGAGAGAAATGCGAGCTCAATAGAAACTTTATGCTTTTGCTCGATTTATCTTGATTAGTTCTATTTAGTTTTTGTTTTGTTCAAATTCTAAATAGAAAATTTAAGATTAAAATCGATAAGTCTATGATACTTAATAGGTGTCTCACATCTTTCAGCCTATAATTATTTTTGAAACCTAAATATATTTAAATCGACTCGTACATATTATTAATGTAATGACCATAGAAATTTCAAAGGAAATAAATTATAAATTTAGTGCGGAAATGAAATAAATAGTTAGGGTTTACATTCTTTACATAATAACTGAAAGTATCAAATAGGGCTTACGGGAATAACCCTTCTAAAAGAACAACTGATAACCAAAGAAATAAATTAAAAATAAACAACTGAACGTCTTACTCGCAATCCTCTTGTGGATCAGGTTTTGGATCATGCTGAAATGGTTAATAAAAGAATGAGTTACACTAACTTAGTAAGAATATTATACTACTTACTGACACAGAGATGAATGTTGGTAAAAATTATAAAATAACTAATGGAGCTCTTAATTAAGCAAAATCATTTTTCATAAATAAATCATTTACCCTCTACTTACCGTACGAGATTTACAAAAAATAACCTATAAAG